TGAAGATTCATAAGAATATTTCTTAAATATTTTTTAGAATGTAGGATCTGCTCTGGTCGATTTTTTTGTTGTTGACGTTCTTTGGGATTTTTATACCGCGCTTTGTGATTAGCTGTGCTTTGCAAAACACTGGCAAAGCTTATGCAGTCTTCCCAAGCAACAAAGTATTTCTTTGTGCAACCTGTCAAATTAAAATACCCTGTACTTTGCTGATATATCACCATACTGAGAAAAGTAGTACACCAAGAAATACTTTTAGAAACTGGGGGGTCTGATGAAACACATCCTGAATTGAGGACAAGACTTGCCTTTATTTGAAATAGATTGATAGACATAAAATAACGATCAAACTTGAAATTCTGTTTTGATCCCATGGAAGATTAGTATAAATCAAATTAACTTTTGCTTGTGCTTACATAGATAATCAAATTAATGTTGGTTTCTAAATTATAAATGTATACAGTATCTATAATATAACTCCTTTTTTCTAGGATATTATGCACATATAGAATTATTATAATTCTATATCTCTAGTATTGTTTCTATACCAGAAGACTACAACACAAAGTGCCCTTGTTGAATAATTTAGAGACAAAGGATATAGGGTCATTTCACAGTTGAAAAAAACAAAACAAAACAAAAACCCAACCAGGATTCATCTACTTTGAAGGGCACTTCATCTTGGACTATAACCAACAGCTTTTTTAAAAGGCACCTTTGTAGAGACAGGGTTTTTTTTTTTTTTTTTTTTTTTTTTTTTAGGGAACATATTTGTTAAGCTGTGTATGGAGAATAATATTGTTAGAGATGGCCCAGACTGCCAATTCCTTAAAAACAAACAAACAAACAAAAAAAAAACCTTTTCATAATACCTGTATTTGTGTGAATGTAGATATGTGGAATTGCTCTTGCAGTGTAACATTTTAAGACCAGCAATATCTGCCTAAATTGCATTAAATAAATTATTCTACAAAAACAACGGAAATGTTGAATTAGACATCAGTGGCTTAAGTTTTAAACATAACTATGTAAAACATTGTTTCAGGGAAAGTGTGTGTGGGGAGGGGGGACTTTGAGACTAAGTGACTCTCTTTTGTATTTTTGCATTGATTTTGTCAATATTTGAATAGACCTTTAGACCTGAGAAGATGAATGTATGGTTCTTCTCTCTGCAAGACATTTGTGGAAATGAGCTACATCTCCATAGTGATTCTGCTCTAATAAGAGGTGACTTGGGTAAAAATAATAATAATGCAATGCAAGGACATTTATAGTAATTCAAACACTGAGAAAGCAAAGAGTGTGTCCAGGAAATAACAGGAGATCCTTCTCTAGAATGTTGATGATGTGGTGAATAATAAGTTAGTGATAAGTAGGGAGAGGAAAGAAGTGGGTTGATGACGAGCATTTTTTTAAATAAATAATGTATTTATTAAGTAATACACAATAGGTTCCAACAACATTTTGATATTGAAGAGATAGTAAGCTGTACTACACAGAACTAACCTACAGAACGTCTGAGTTTAGAAGTGCTAAGTGGGGGTATGTCTGAAAAGGAGTATTAGGACTGTTATTTTTGTTGTCATAAATAATTTAAATTTTTAAAAGTGGTTTGTCAGAGAATATAGCCTAAGTAAACATTATCCCTTCATGCTGATAAGAACTTGGAGTGCTTTCTCTGATACATAACTGCTTTTATACATAAATCCTCAGAAATCTCTTCTACACGAAGGAAAGTCTTAAATTATTTAATGAAAAATCAGTGCCTCAGATGTTTGTTATGAATGTTTCTGGTAATATATTTTGAGTTCCCATCAGGTTTTTTTTCTTCTTGTTCTCTCATGTAGAGAATAAGAAGACGAAGTTACTTTTAGAAACTCACACAGTAATTCAGTAGAAAGCAAATCTTGGGCCTGATTTTCCTTTACATTGGTGAAAATGAGGAGACATTTCTTTGAAGGTTAATGGAGTTGAACCAGAGTAAGTGAGAAGGGAATCCGGCCCTAAGATGCCACAGTAATGAATGCTGAGATACTAGCAGTGAGGAAAACGTCGTATATTGTAATTTTAAAAATCTTAAAGGTGAGCTATACATTTTGCTTGGTGTTGAAGATAAAATTTTAAAGGATATAACACTTTGCATTATTTGTAACCACTAGAATAGCTAGCATTGAATTTTATCATCCTTTATGGATTTTAAAATCAAAGATCAAGGGGTACATGTTTAACAAGGGTAACTAGCATGCCTCCTGCTTCTGTTACTAATAATAGAATGTCAGCCTTTACTTCTCAATGCACTGCTCTGAGAGCATGATCCTGTTCTCATTCAGATCAATGGTAGGATTCCCTTTAACTTCAGTAGTGCAGGATCAAGCCTTAAAACAATTTATCTGACATTTCAGCCTATTTTTTTAATTAAATCCATTGCAGTGGTTTATATATCCATAAAGTGCTTTAGTTAACCATACCTACTCAGAATTTCCAGTCTCTAAATTATTCATTGGGTAAAATATTGGGTTTTGAATTTTGTGGTTGGTATAAACTTTTGTAACAGCACAGATCTATTATAACCCCTATTAGAATGCACAGTGTAGAAATTAACCAGTGAAAATGCAGAAATGATAGCCGTTCACTAAAACGGGTATGTAAAATAGACATATTTTATCAGAAGAGGATGACTACTTCACTAATATTTGTGGATGTTTAAAACTGAGTTAAAATGCTAACATTGGACCTGATGCTGCAGAGCTCAGGACCTCAGTAGAAAGTACGAACCAAGATTGTGTTTTTTAAATCAATTTGATGCAGTTATGTTCATACAACATAGATGAAAGAATTATGCTCAATTGAGCTGTAACTCCCAGAATACATTTGTTCACCAGAGCGAGAGATAACCACTTCTACAGTAGACTACCAGCAAAGCTTACTGGGACTGGAATAAGTATTGGATTTAAGGTTAGAGAGGTACAGAAATGGAACGGAGTACAGCATAGTCTCTTTACTCTAAATCCTTTAATAGCATGTATAGGTGAATATGCATCTGAAATAGATATCATCTAGATTGAAGTAGGGAACATACTTGATTGTTGGTAAATGTCCAGAACAAGGGATGGGGGAATGTTCAGTGTGGTTAGCTAAAGATTTAGGCAGTTTCCGGTCACTTGATTTGGCAGTGGCGGTTCTGACTGGAATCTGTTGATGTTTTTAAGAAGTTGCCATTGTTATGAAGCCATCACCTACCTACGTGCTCTGATTTTACTTTCCAAATAGTTCTATTTCATATATTTGCCGTGCTTTTTTGTTAGCCATGGTGAAAGGTCTTCATTCGTTGAAAACTGTTAAACAAAGTTGCTGTTACTTGTTGTGCCAAATACTTTAAAAATAGCCATTCAAAACTGTTTATGTCCAATTATAAACAAAGGGGATATTTCATAGGTGAGATATCAGAAGCAATACTGAAACACATAAATTCACAATCATTTTGGTTTGGTTATTTCTAGTGCTTCCTTAATTTAAATCAAGTAGAAAACATTAATTCGCCTGGTATCAGTCTAGTTTAGAATACTTTTTTTTCCCCTCCAAAGTTTTGTAGGGAATTATTAAATCTATCTTGTCACAATATGTACTTTCCTGACTTTAAAGAAAGAAACCAAAATTAAGTCTTAGGTAATTATTGTAATTATAGGATCAGATCGACACAGGGTTCAAACTGTATGGTATCTCATTACTCTAAGTCTCTCTTGGATTTTTCCTTTATCTTTACATTTCCTTGCCCTGTGTTAGTGGGAGTCTCTCCTGCTTGATAGTACTTTATATCACTGAATATCTGATGCCTTCAGAAACAGAGACCTTGCCTACACTGGAGATTTTCCACGATTACTGCCATCTGCTTAGCTGCACCAGTGCAACCCCTTGAGTACACAGAGAAAGGCACAGTTTGCACTGGTAGATTTTATCCCGATTAAGGTAGTGTCCACCAGTGCAAATCCTGGCTTTCCTCATCAATACCCGGGATTGCACTGGTACAATTATACTGAAGTTAATGGAGCTTCCAGATGAAAAGCTCTTGCATTATTAGATCTTGATCCTGCAAATGCATACATACACTTCAGTTGTGTGTTTAGTCCCGCTGGCAGCTCAGATGCATCAGTGTTTGCAAGACTGGACTCTTACTTTGTAACTAAAAAAAGATCATTTGAATCTGTTTTTGTGGCCTTAAATTTCAAGATGGAGAGGTGTTTTGATTTTTATCTGTATTCCTACCCTGTGAGCCATTTGAAAGTAATGGCTCTGGTAGAATCCAAAAGGCCCTTTGCCATTACAGCAAACACTAGAGTACTCACATCCATGAAGTTTGCAGGTTCAGGGCCTGATGCTGTAAAGAGGAGTTAGTCCACTAATGAAAAATATTACCGGAGAATACAAGTAATCATTGGAGCCAATAAAAAGTGTGTCTTGTGTGATCGCAGGGTTATTACTCGAAGGTGATCCAAACAACAACTATTTGCAGATTAAATGCTCCCACTTAATTTGGTGTCATTGCACTTTGTGATACAGTTATTAAATAGGCAATATATTTTACTTTTTCAGTATAGACCTCTATATTTACCTCTTCTGCTTTAATTGAACTGTAATTTTAATCATGATTATTACCTTAAATTATAATTAAATTCATGCTTAAATATACATTTATGAAAATGGTTGTGTGATGAAAACAGAAATTAGCTTTGCATTAACCAAAAAAGGGAGGTTTTTTTCCACTGCTTCTTAGTATATGCTCACAGCCAAAGACTAGCATGACCTACTTTACAACAATAACAGAGGAATCAAGCCCATGTCTTTTTTTTTGTTTTGTTTTGTTTTTTTTTTTTGTTTGTTTGTTAAAGTGTCTGAATTGGCCATGAAAGCTGCCTACTCATTGATGTGTAAGTATCTTTAAAAATAGCAATTGTATGTGAAACTTCAGGCAGTTTTTTTTATTTATTTTTATTTAGATAATTAGCACCATGGAGCCTCAGGTGTCGAATGGCCCTACATCCAATACGACCAATGGACCCTCCAGCAACAGTAGAAACTGTCCTTCCCCCATGCAGACAGGGGCTGCCACAGATGACAGCAAAACGAACCTCATAGTCAACTATTTACCCCAGAATATGACACAGGAGGAATTCAGGAGTCTCTTTGGGAGCATTGGTGAAATAGAATCCTGCAAACTTGTGAGAGACAAAATTACAGGTATGCTCTTAAATATTTTTGATGTTGGCTTAGATACGCACTTCTACTTTGGGCAACACAACTTTGGTGTCTTTAAAATAGTCATAGATCTGTTGAGTTGTGCCTAAGTCCATACAGTCGACGCCACAATAATTACCTTTACTGCATATTCCCAGAATGGGAAATATTGCCAATACCCCAGTAAACTTCCTGCAGGTGGTAAATCTTCAGTGGTCTCTACTGTGTATATATACAAATTGCAGGAGAAGCCAATTGTGTTCCAAGCCACATAAAGAGCTAAAAAAAGAATAACTAGGATTTCTGAAAAATTCATAATGTATTTATAAAACATAATTGGGAGGCGCCTTTTGTACAAGTTCACAGCTCATTTGATGCCATTTACTTCCCCAGTCCTCCTTCATCTTTATTTATTTTTCCCTAACTTTAAAAAGGGTAGTCTAAATCTTGTGCTGTGTTTTTTTGATTATTGGGTCTTGTTTATAGCTTTGTTCTCCGATACTCTTACCCTGTCATAGCCCTTTTTCTCATGGAGTAAAATCTGTTGATAGGATTATCTGCAGAAGTTTCAGAAATAAACCCCTCATTATAGTCTAGATCTGTATCAAAGAGAAAAGAAATGTGCATGTCCACCCATAGGGGAGGCATGAACAGGTAAGGAAATACCTGCTCTGTTCTCCATCTTTGCTGCAGAATTGCAGCCATAGTCATACAGTGGAACACATCCTATATTAAAAAAAGCAGTGGGATGAACATCAGCTTTTATGGCTGCTTGTGAAGGCTATGTGGCCTTATTACTCCCACTCTAAAGGGGGAGAGGCTGATGTTTCTGCTGCTGTTTGGTGCATCACCAGTATCCTAGTTCATGATGTAGCATACATATGTGGAGATTGCAGTCCCTGCCAGACTCTGTACTATACTGGAACATCCTGTTCCCTCATGCCCTGCTCATAGCAGGGTATTGGTTATGCAAGGATCTGTGTGAGTGATATTCAGCCTTTTGCAAGTTTCTGAACTCCATTTCTGCTGTGTTGCGTACTGCAGCCAGGCATGAGCTAGCTCCACACCTATACATGTTCTAAGTAAACCAGCGCAGGATCTGCCCCTAAGAAACTACAGATGCTCTTACCACATTTCCTTAACTATAGCAAAGGGTTTGACAGTCTTGGAAAAGGAAGGGTTCCCAAAAGAGATGGGTTTTTTCCCCCATAGAACATACACATAGAGGGCTGTGGGTAGAAAGTGGGATGTAAAACCAGAGTATTCATTTTGAGAAGAGAGAATTATCTTGAGAATGAGGATATAGACAAATAGTTTTGCTCTAGCACTCACATAGCCTTTGCCCTGACAGTGTTAGTGCGATCCACTTAGTGCTTTTAAATGTGAAATGATTCCTTTTATTTCCTTTTTGCTGTATAACAAAGCTCAAATTTAACACTGCGGCACATAATAAATGGCAGTAGCCCTGGAGCAAATTGCATTCTCAAAAATATAGTTAATCAGAGCTCTCTCTTGCACATTGGTCATTATGTATCTACCTCAGTACGTCCTGATTGGGAGACAGCTTCATGAGTGCGAGGAAGAGGATTAAAAAAAGGGCAGTGAGTTGCCTTTGCTTGGGCTTTATTTAGATTGTGGAATATTCCAAGTGTTTTTCTTAAGAGCAGAGCTGCGTGCAAGGTACAGCAACCTAACACTACTAGAATATATTTCCCTGGATATTTGCTAGCACAGCTGTCAATTAGTTACAAAACTATTGTGTTTTTTCTTTCTCATCTAAGGAACTAAAATTACAAGTAACTTCAAGTGTGTTAGATGTGAGTAGACAAACAAGTATAACTTTTAAATCAAGTGCCACTAGAGACTCGTGCTTCCAGTCTGGATTTTGATCATGAAAAATCCTATTTTTCAGTAGCTACCAGCATATTTTTAGCTTTCTACACATCTCAAAATTAGTGAGGTTTTTCCCTAAATGTAATCCTGAGTTTAGATGGATAGAAAAATGCCATCTGTTATTTCTTTGGTGGGATGAGAACCCTGGATGTTGTCTTAGTCTTTACTTTCTTTCCTGTGTGTACTGTTTCCTCTTGGTTTCATGCTGCCTCAAGGATTCTGTCTCAATAGTAGATGCTGTAAGAGCGTGCGTGTACTAGCTTTGGATATGTTTCTGGGTGGTTGTCCCCCTAGAAATTTTCTTTCAATACAAATTGGATCATTCTTTGTGAAAGGATTTGTGGGCAACCAGTTTTCCAAAAATTAGATTGGAGTAAAATTTTCAAAAGCGCCTAAGTGATTTACTGCCTCCGTCCCATTCTCCAGACTGATTTATGCACTTAGGTGCCAAAGCCTCATGGAATTCAGTAGGCTTCTAAGTGTGAAAATGGAACTTAGAATCTCAGATAACTTAGGCACCTTTCAAATCTTTACACCAGATAATTTCTCTCCATTCCAGAGTCCCAGTGATTTGAAGTTTGGGGAATGGACTTGGCTCTTTGAGACTCAATTATTTTCAGAATTACCTTGTTCACTTTGATTATGCTGATAGAAAACCATGATGGTTTCTTCTGAGTTTTTATTTTCCCTTCATCTTGAATTCACCATGCAATGGAAACAACTGCCACCACATCAAAACCTGGTTCCCCTACATCAGAAAGTCCTCAGAGCAAATAGAATGGTGGGGGACCTGACGTGCAGTTTTAGCTACTGGTCTTCTCTCCCTGTGTCCAGCGAGAAGACTGGAAGACCAGTCCACTCTTTCCCTCCACCTACTTCAGTCACATTTTTTCCAGGCCCCTTAACCTTGAAGCCTGGGGAGTACCAGGGATTAGAATGTTAAATAAATGCAAAAATAAGACTCCTCAAACTATGTTTAAACTATGGGTGTTGGCCTCTGGTCATGGTACACAGCACTAGATAAGAAGTGTGTCCCCCCCAAGAGGCTCACCAACACACACAGTTGTCATTTTCATCAAGATGAGCATAAACAAATAAAAAGACAAGACCAGACTCATACTACAGACCCAGTTAACAAGTTTGATCAACCCTTGGCCCATGTATTGAGTAGTGAAATGCGAGTGAATAAAAGTCAAGGCTGAAATATCTTTCAAGTTTGTTCTGTGAGTGTTCTTTGTAGGAGTGAGAGCTTGTCAGAATGTCTGCCTTTTCAATGATTATCTGCTTTATTTTATTATTAACATCAGGCAGCATAATTTTTTGAAGATATACTGCAGAATAAAATTAACTACAGTACACAGTAAATTCTCTTGACATGCTTGTGGACTTAAGCAAAGCTCTAAAACAGTTTATGTTCAATCTGCTTGTGGATTTTTGCATATTTTTGTTCAGAAAATCCATCTTTTGTGGTGGATAGTTCTTTGTTTTGTCAGCGAATGAATAACATAAAAATATATACAAGGTGTACTATAGAAAGTAGGGACTGATAAGTGAGTCATTTTAACAAAAACTGGCACAGTTTCTGTGAAGAATATGGACCTCTTTCATATACCGTACAATAAATCGCTTTCTCCTTGCTGATAAAATAAAACGTCGATTATAAAGTAAAAGCAAAATTTGAATTAAAGTTGTGGTTAAGGGATTTTTAAACAAGTGCATTCAGAAGAATAAAAGGGCATATTTCAAATGTGATCTAAAATTGTTAGACTGGCAAAATCATATTAGAAAAATCTCAAATAGGAGGGTGACCATTTAACTGGGCAAAAGATCTAGTGTTCCCCACCTTGTTAAGGAAATGCACAGACTTTAATAAGATAATATTTAGACTCCCAAAATATTTTTACAAGGAGTTCAGAGCTAAACAAAGTCTGTTAAACATACAAGATCCCCTTGAGAGAATTTATATTCAAGACTGTTACGCCATTATTTTAATAGGGATTAAATTTACTGTATATGAACAACAATAATAATCGTAATCTGTTCACAGTCTTCATACAGGTCTTCTGGATCAGTTGTAAGATTTTTAAGAAAATTAATTCATGATGTTACCACTTGCTTAGGAAAGACACATGTTTAAACAAGCATACGCCTTTATTACTGGGAAAAAATGCTAATTTGGTAGTATGCTGAACTCAATTGAACAGGAATGACAGGTTCCAAGACAGCCTTTAATTTGGTATTCAAAACCAAAATTGTGAACTTCAGTTTTGTTTGGTAGCTTTTCTGAACAGGCAGGATATACAGTAGCTTTTTAAAAAGATGCTAATGATTTGAAAGTGGAGATAAAACTCAGGCATACATTTTAATTATGGGGGAGAAGTTCAACTGAAAAATGTATTTTAGTTGCAGAGAATGTAAGGAAACGAGACAAGGAAAAACAGAAAGACCAAAGATATTTGCCATCATTTGGCAGGGAGTTTTAATAAAAGCAGAACTTGTGGTTATAAAGTGTGCTTATTAAATTCTTCATTTGCACTACCTAATTAATTCTAGCATTTTAAATTAACAGTGAAACTGGTCCCTGCTGAACCATTTCATAGCTACAGCATATTTCGTCCAACAATCCAGTTGTTCAGGTTTAATCAGCTGCTCTCCAAAAATGAAAAAGAAGGGACTTAAGTGAGGAAACTAAATAGCACAAACATTTTGGAACAGCAATATATGAAATAGATTGCCAACTTAGAGGGGAACACAAGCAGATTTTAGACCATTCAGATTGTGTAGCCAATACTGTTGCTGTTATAAATAGAACAGTGTGCAGAGTGGCAAACAACTCTTTTAATAAATGGTATAGCTTTCCAGAAGGCTAGTGTACATGAGACAGTCTATGGAAAATAAGGGTATATTATGGAATACCAACAAAAATAACTAGAATCCTCAAAGACTTCTATGATGCTGAATGTGCGGTCAGAGATAACATCAGCCAATGATTTGCAGTGACAACTGGGGTGAAGCAAGGGTGTATTATGTCTCCACTGTTGTTTGCACTGGTCATTGACTGCATCATGAGGAAAATAACCACAGAAGGCAACAAAGGAATTTTATGGACA